TTTCCAATGGGGGGTCCGGGAACATCGCGAGAACACATGTGGAACCGGTCCCCCCCACCCGAAGTTTGGGTCTTCGGGTTCGGTTGGAGTGGTCTGGTAGGTGGTCATTGCGTCTCTAACGCACGTCCTCACTATATATATATGTGTATATATATATATATATATATATATATATAGATCTTCACTGTATCGAGGGCTCTGCCTGTGCCTGTGCATGCTTCTAGCGTCGAGTCGCAAGAGCCGACAAGATGGTACGGGAGGCTCCCATGAGTTGCCGCCGAACGTTGGGGTGGCGGGCCATCTCGCAGGCGATTTCCCCCCCCCAATCCCCGGGTTCCGCCCGAAGAGTTTGGCCGCTCGCAAACAGGGGGGAACCCTGGGATGCACCCCCCGGGGGCTGATTGGACGCCCCCCCATCGAGTATGGACGCCCCCCCGATCGTATCTCCCAGGGTCGGGCCCAAATTTCTGGTCCATGCGGCACCTCCCAAAGCCTGGGATATTATATGGGTTGTCCAGAGGGGTTGTCTGCCTCCCCTCTGGGTTGTCCGAGGGGTTGTCCAAGGGGTTGTAAGTCGTCTTGTCACCATTAATCAGCGTGTGTTGTCCGGGTTGTCCGAGGGGGTTGGTCCGAATTTTTTCTTCCGATCGAACTACGTGTCCACTGAACATAGTAGGGGAAGCTCATGGACACCTTGCGCAAGTCTTCCAGGAGGCCCACGTAGACCATATCGAGAAATGGTCGGAATGTTCGGGCGGACGGTCCGGAAGAATGAGGGGGATGGGGGGGAGGAGCTGAATGGCTCGCTGCGCGCGGCCGACGTCGTCGTCGTCGTCGTCGTCGTCGTCGTCGTCGTCGTCGTCCTCGTCGTCGTCGTCGTCCTCGTCGTCGTCGTCCTCGTCCTCGTCGTCGTCGTCGTCGTCGTCGTCGTCCTCGTCGTCGTCGTCCTCGTCCTCGTCCTCGCCCCCTGTTACTAACCGGCTGGCTCGCCGCCCCCCCCCGCCGAGAGGAGCCCTGCCTGGCTTCTGCGGCCGCGGGGCCGTGGCAGCAGGAGCCCCCGGGCGCGCCGCAGCCGCCGGCGGCAGCGCAGGTGCGGCGCCTGGGAGACCCCGCGGCGTCCCGAGCTCGGGAGCCGCGCTCTCCTCTCGTCGGAGGAGGAAAAGGTACCCATACTGCTGCCCTTCGCGCTCGTTGTCCCCTTGGTGGGCCTCCTGGGAGGCCCTCGTCGCCATCGCTGGATGCGCCTCGAGCTTCTGGTCAGAACGGGGCCCTGGAGAGGTCCGGGGAGTAGCGGTATTGTTGCCTTTCGGTTTCCCCATGTGGGGGCTCAAGGGACGGAAGTCAATGCAAACGTGGGTCAGCCGGAGCGCCGCATCCTGCAGGGCCACGGGTATGTACACTGACCCGGGTTTGCGTGCAGGGTCTTGCAGGATCCTGCAAGGCTTGACTGATCTGGGTGGTTTGCATTGGCCCGGGTTTGCGCTGACGAGAATGCACCCGTTCCAGAGCGTTCCGCACCGCCCTCAGAGCGTTCCGGAACTCTTTGGGAAGGTCGCGGCGCCCGAGACAGAGTCTTTTTTTGATTCGGGCAAGCTTACTTGCATGGGGCGGGCGGGGGCTGAACCTGAAGCAAGCCGCAAACCACTTGCACGTGCGCAAATCACGCAAGTCGAGAGGCACTTGCACGCCAGTATTCGTCTGAAGAGGGGCGAGTGGGGTGGGGGGGCGAATGCCATGCAAGTAAGCTTGCCTGGGTCTAAAGAGAAACGGTCTCACACCCTCCAAAGCCGCTGGACCTCCGAGATGCTCGATGTGTCCTCACCCGATCGTGTGGAAAACCCGGAACATATAGGAGACTACGGGGAAACTTGGGATTCGTGTCTACAGTGGGGGCCCATGTCAAGAAACAACCTGATTGCCTCCAGGGTGCCCTGGGTTGCTTGGGTTTCGATGGTTTTGACGTTCTCACACGAAACATCGGTGGACCTCCTGGGGTCTCAGGGTTGAAGGCTTCTCGTGGAAGGTTTCTGGTGGACTTGCCTGCACTGTCTTTCTTTGTGTGGCCCTGGGCCCCTGCTGATCTCTTTATGTCGGGCCTGTGCCCCTACAGGGGGGTTTTCGACGAAAAATAAAAAATACCCCAAAGATACCGCAAAGTGGTCAACAAATCATCAAAAAATAGTCCCCAGACTATTTTTTGATTCTTTTTTGATTTTTTGGGTATTTTTGCATTTTTCGTCGAAAATCCCCTCAACGATATCCTCGCCCGACTTAATGATATCCTCGCCCGAGATTCTCTCCCCTCGCCCTGGCTTCGCCGGGCCCCGCTCCCCCGCGTGGCGGCCGCCCGGGACCGCGTGGCCGCTGCGCCGCCTGCTTTGGGTCCCTCCTGGCCCGCGGCCCCGCGGGCCCGAGCGGCTACGGGGCTGGAGAGGCGAGTCGGGCACGCCCCTGCAGAGGAGGGCGATCCCAGAGCAGGAAAAAAATGGTCTGGAGACGCGCTGTCGATTTATGTTATTTTTCTTTTGTTTCGTTTTGCTTTATGTGGGCCATGTCTCATGCTTCTTCCAAGATTCGCCTGCAGGATGACATGCCCGACCTTATCCTGGCTTCGTCGCGCCGCGGTCCCCCCTCGCGGCGGCCGCCCAGGGTGAGGTCGGGCACGGCGGAGTTGGGGCGAAGAGTTGAAGACAGCGAAGAAGTGCTCACAAGTAGTCCAACAATGCAGAACAGTCGTCCCCATATTATTTTTTTGACCATGTTTGAAATCCCCCCCCGGTAGAGGGACAGGCCCGACCTAGCGCAGTTTCCTCCTCCTCCTGCTCCTCCTCCTCCTCCTCCTCCTCCTCCTCCTCCTCCTCTTCCTCCTCCTCCTCCTCCTCCTCCTCTTCCTCCTCCTCCTCCTCCTCCTCCTCCTCCTCTTCCTCGCGGGGCCGCCCGAGCCGCTCCAGGGGCCCCTCGTGGCCCCAGCGGCCCCTCTCGGCCCGAGAGGGCCGCGGGGCCCCAGGGCGGGCCGCCGGCGGGCCGCTCGCGGCCGCTCGGCTGAAGTGGCTGCCGTCGACCCGCCTCGGGGCCGAGGAGACGGGTCGATACAAACCAAGGGCTCCCACGAGGGCGCGAAGTTATTCGCGCTTCGCGCTTCGCGGTCCTCGTTTCTCCTCCCCCTCCTCCTCGTCCTCCTTTTCTCCCTTTGGGGGGGCGGCGCGAGAGCGCGAAGTTATTCGCGCTTCGCGGAGCGCGAAGCGCGAAGTTGGGAGCCCTAGCAAACGGGGGTCGGTCAGAGCTCGAAGAAGAAGAAAAATAACGCCATGAACGTACTTGAACTTTTGGCGCTCCGCGCTGGACTTCTTGGGTCCACGCTGGGGCCCCCCCCCCCCCAGCGGCGCCTCCGGCGCCGCCCCTGGCGCGCCAGGGAGGGGGGTCCAGCGCAGGTCCAAGAAATCCAGCGCGGAGCGCCGAAAGTTTGTGTTTGTGGCGTTTTTACTTTTTTAAGAGCGCCGGATCTTGCAGGATCCTGCAGGGCTGCACCGGCCCGGGCTTGCGTGCAGGATCCTGCAGGATCTTGCAGGATCCCGCAAGGCCCGACTGACCCCGGTCTGGATTGGCCCGGGTCAGTAGATCCCCGATCGCCGCTCCGCCCCCCCCCCGTGGGTGGCCCGGGGCCAGCAGGTCGGTCGCTGCGTCGGGTGCGAGAGCACCCGAGATGCGAGTAAGGGATCGGCTGCAGAGCCGATTTCGCCCGAGACAGTTTTTCTCGCCGGATCCATGGAAAAGGCGTAGACTGCTGGTAGACCTGCGAGAATCCTGCGCGCTCGTCCGTCGATTCGACGTCAAGCTTCATTTGGGGGGTAAACCAGTGCTGTAGTCGATCTAGTCGATCCCCCACTCGAGAGGTGAGTGCCGCAGGGGCGGGGTCGCTGTGCGACCAGCAGCCCGCCGAGGCCGCCGAGGCGGGAGCAGGACCGCCCGCCTTCGGCCACGGCGCGCTCCAGCCCTGCGCTGCAGGTCGGGGTCGGGGTGTCTTGGAGACGGGTTTTTTAAGCGTCCGGCGATGATCCGGGTTATCGGGCTTGCCCCCCGCCCCCCCCCCCAGGATAACCTAACCTTGCCGGTTGTGCAGGTCTGGGGTGGGGGGGCGCGGGCAGATGCAGGGCTGCCCACAGCGCGAAGGTTAGGTTTTCGGCCGGCCCCGTCCTCCCCCCGTCCTCCCCCGGATCACCCGGGGACCATCGCCGATTCCCAAAGAGCGGTCTCTTTCTCCGAGGCGGGAATTTAAACATGACCACCGCCTGGAGGATCAATTTTCGGGGACCTCGGCAGGCGGTGGATCTGGACATGTCCGGGTCCCCGGGGGCCAAATCATGTCCAGATCCATTGTCCGCCGGGGCATCACAGGACGTCGGTTCCCAGGCGGTGGATATGGACAAATCCCTGTCTCGCACTTGTGAGTGCGATGCGGATGTGACGACGAAGAGGTTCAGCGGCGCGCAGGAGAGGTCGGAGCGAGGGAAGGGGGGCCTGTCAGAAGGCGAGGTGGCTTCTCAGGAGCCCTCTCGCCTTCTAGCTTGCCCTCCACAAGGCCTTGGCAGAAGGCTCCTCAGAGGCCTCCTTATCATAATGGTTCTCAGAAGCCTTTGATCCCTTCTGAGGAGCGCCCCGCCTGCGTGGAAGGCATCACCCTCGGCCCACCTACCTCTGTGCGCGGCGCCAAGAGGAGAGCATGGAAAGACACCATCAACGACGGCAGCGAAGCACGGCTAATGCTCACGCTCGCATCTTCGAGTGACCAGGCAGCGCGTGTGTGTATGTTTGTGAGTATCTATCTGTGTATCTATATAACAACCTCTCTATACATATCCATAGATGTAACTATGTATATACATATATATACCTATCTATATATCTATATATCTATCTATCTATCGATATATCTATATATATACATCTCTCTATATATATATCGTTCTATCTATATATCTATAGATATCTATATATCTATA